CTACTACTACTACTACTACTGGTAAGCCGTATAGACCCTTGAACCACAGGTGCGCCGCCTGAATCTCTGGAGTGCTGACCTCGGCGACTTGAAGCTGACCGGCCAGGGGCTCAAATCTGTGTCATTCATGAACGGACGGCTTAGGGTTAAGGGTTATAGTGAATCATATGAAAAGGTTGGGGTTCTGATATTCATGCTTCGTTTTCCATGATGTATCTGTATCTGAGATAGTACCATAGTTTGAAACTACATGGTTCGGGCTTCTGGTCCGGGACGCGCCACTCCAATCCTGACCTGTGGGTGGTAAACCCTGTAAGCTACTGGCAGGGGCTTGTAGAAGGTACTTGCAGGTTCATGGTTAGCTAAATTATCAGATTTGCTATGAAGTACCCGAGTCTGTGTGGGAAGTAACTGTAAATGTAGCTACCCTCAGCGTACCCCTGCTCACAAAGTCTTTTGATCCTTTCGAAGTCTGAGGTAGCACCGCCCGATAGCTAGGCTACGAAGCATAGGACTGAGACGCCTGTGGAATGGGAGGCGTCCTGTCGTTTTGGCCAAGGTCCTGGATACGATGTCGAGCCCAACAACAGCACCATCGTCAAGGCTGCGCCGCATGTTCGGGCCGCTACAGATCCCAGAAACTGCATCGATGGAGAGAGTTGCGACTATTCGGACCCCTTTCTCTTGCCAAGCTCGGGTGGTTTGTATGTGAGAGGAGACTGCTTCAGGAAATTGCCATTCCGACTAGCAACATTGTTGATCTGTTACTTCGTACGATGATGACTGTGGATGTTGACATTTAGGATTACTTGCGGTGCTCATACGGTGGCCAAAGTTCACCCACGAGCGCAAACATGTCGAACTGTACAATGAACTGAACTGAGGATAGGATCATCATCGCAGCTATGATTGCGATGATACTGACAAAGCACAGTCTCAACAATGCAGATAAGCATGATCATGACAGGGACAGTGACAACAGTATCCCCGTCCAGGGAATGAATGCGGGCAAGCTGATCTGGGAGCCCATGCATCGGGGTTATGGTGCTGTGGTCGCCTTGGGAAGCAACTACACCGTTTCAGGCCGCGGAAGCTGGGATTTGGGATTTGATTGGGGGTTCCAGTTTAGAAAGTCAGCGCTTGGGGTGCAAAGTTCAGGGTTGAGGGCTTCATGGGGTTAGTTCGGGGGTACTTGGTGGCGAGGTCTTAGGGCTTTCGGGCTTGTTTTAGAAGCGGCTTGACTTCGGAGCGGGGAGGGGTTCAGTTTCACTGCGTGCCTTCCGCTGCAGCATTCAAACGGCTTGCGCACCGACTCTTCGCTTGTGTTGGTAGAGTGTTGTCCGCAAGCCTCAAGGCCCAAGCCCTTGGCCGGTCTTACGAATAGTGTATTATAATATATGATAGTATATTATGGTATATTATAGTATATTATCGTATATTATAAGACTCCCAGGGTGCAGCTGCCGGGCCTCAATACTGCCAATGCCCCTTGCGTCCCCAAGCTTGCATGCCCTGGAAGTTCAGAAAAGCGCACCCGAAAACCTAAGCTAGAGTATGCCTCTACCGATCTCTGGGTTCGTTTTTTGCCAGGCAACTTCCGGGGCGATATTGCCACCGAGCTGTCGGATGTGGTTCTAGAGGCCCTCGATATCGTGCATTTCTTCGGCCCCCTTGGTGGCTTGGAAACCCAAAGCTTCGCCCTAGACCGTAAAGCCTAGACCCTTAACTCCTTAAGCGGATTTAACCGGTTTGACTCCGGAAAGGCTTCCGTGGTTCTGTAGCCAATATTGCGCGCTCTCTTTGGAGAAGGATGATGCCCAAGGGAAAGACAAGGCTCAATCTGTAATACGCTATGCTATGATATAACATAACATCATATGACATAATAACATAGTGCAGTATAAGCTAATATAAGATACGATAAAATGATAAAATGATATGATATGATACAGCATGGTATACTATCACAAAGTCTTCTTCAAACTGTTGTACTAACACAACATGATATAATATAAGGCATATAATACAATTACAGTGGTACAATATCATACAAGATCATATAAGATCAGATCATGTAATATATATATATATATAGTAATATAGCCTGATATGATATAACACAATATAAGATAATGTAATGTAATATAGTCTATCATAATCATTTAGTACAGGCATCTAATGGAATATACAACAAATATGTAAGATAAGATCATACAGCATGCAATGCGTTCTAGGAACCCCTAGCCCCGGTTTGGCTACTGGGCTGAGCCCAACGATCCGATTTGGAGACAAGTAGTAGATTCCCCATTACAAGGCCCTGTGGTGAGGTATCCCCATTTGGTTTTGGGTTTAGGAGGGCAGTTCGCAGTTTCGTAGTGTGTGGCGGCACCGGATCATATCTTCACGGTCACGCGACGTTCAAGTCGTTCTCATGTGCAGTTCAGGTCGCCGCATGATGCCCCCGAAGCTTCAAGCGCGGCTCCTTAAGCCGACACCCAACGCCCCCTTCATAAATCCTAGAGCCTGCATACATCTCGGACGAAATCCCCGCATAGATCATAAGCCCAGGACCCTCCCTAGCTACCTACGGAACTTCATCTGTACACCCTGAGGCCCAAAAAATCTCTGTGCTACGGCCCTGAACTCTCCCCCGAGCCCTCTTATGAATCTTCGCCTCTTAGACCCTGCCTCTGCCTTGGGAGGAAGTCACCGGGCAGACGGAAGCAGTCAAGGTCACCATCGGCAACTACACCTGTCAGGCCAGTCCCTCCACTACAGCACCCCTGAAGTCCTCTGGTAATTGAACCCGAACCCTAAGGCTCCAAGTATGCAAATAGTACCTACTTTGGGGTCTAAAGTCTGTAAATAGTACCTACTTTGGGCTATTTGGAGGCCCAGGGGAAGCGCAATGAAGCGCACACGGCAGACGACAGTTGCACCCAGAGCACAGTCGACAAGTGGAGATCAGCACACTGCAGTTGACAGGGTGGGTGGTGCTGCCGCAAAGCATCTGGTCTCAAGTTCCCAAAAGCCATCCCCGTAACATAAGATTTAGTGGTTGAATTACTCAATGAAGTGGGTGTGTACGTATATAGAGACACAGATAGAGAGACAGATATGGATAAATATCCAGTATATCTGCACCGTCAAGCCCGTCTCGCTCCGCGCTTTACGTGGCCAGGTGGCAGCTGTAGATGATCGCAGCTGGCTGGGCATTTTGCCTGCAAGTCTGAGTTAGCCTACAGGCGCTGGGTCGAAAGAAACGAGGGGCAGGATGGGTGGTAATCATGGATAGTCCTGATATTCATGACTCAAGCTTGGTGGGGGTTGCTGTCCAAGCCCCCTCCCCCCTGCCCGAAGCCGGTAGAACCTGAGGCCTTGAACTAAGCAATCCAGACCAAGGTGTGCAGGGCCGTGCACCCTGGACGGCACCCAGCGTGTCCTGCCTGACACAGGCCTACGAGGCCCAGCTTCGGAGATGCCCTGCGGGCTCCCAACTCGGAATGAGCATGGGTTATACTTCCCTTACATATGGGTTATAACTATGTAGTTACCCTATAAATTATAGCTCCACTTATAACTACCCATGAGCCTCCAAGTAGTCTCATAATTGATCAGAGAAGCCTAGCACCCCGGCCTTGGCCTGCGCAGGCTTCCAGCTTGGTGAAGACCACCACAGCCGCCGCCACGACCCTCTCGGATGCCTGGCAGAATTAGCTGCGTTTCGCCCCATGGAGAGACGGGAATCGATCTCCGTTTAGAAAGTCTCGAGATGTTCTTTGCCAGTGCTACTATGATGAGCATTACAATCGGAGGGCTCTCTCGGACTGCCCCCTTCTACGGGAGGCTCCCTTTCGCGCCCTTTGGCCTCCCTTTCCTGAGTAACACGGCACGGTATGCCTTTCATCCGTGCCAGGCTACTACAACGGCTCCCGGGACATGCGGCCTGGAGTCCGAGGTGCCGGAGCGGATGGTGGAAAGCTTCGGTTTGTGTTCGGTGTGGGCAGAGGCTCCGCCGCAGCCTGGTCCAAAGCTCAGAGCTCCTATACTACTTGGAAAGAGAAGTCTGTTCAATCAGAGCCATGGTCCGAGCTGAACTCGCCTACCGCCTTAGCAAATCCGGATGGATTACTCACAG